CCCCCACCCGGGGTCCTCCCAGTTGCTGGAAGGTCACGCCCCCATTCCAAGCCTCAAACCACAACACCAGCTCACCTGGGGGGGGACACAGCATGGCATCGTTTGTGGGCAGCCTCTTTGGAAGCCTCAGCGTGGACTAGGAGCCACGTTTTGGAAAGCCACCAGTGATGAGGAGCTCCCCACACATGCCAGTGGTGCCTCGTGCTTGCTGGTTGCTCAGGATTTTCTCTTCCAGTGCCTGAAACGAGGTGCCCCAGCAGAGCTTGCAGGCAGTCTAGGGTGAAGTCTTTTGTTGTTGGGTTTTTATTGCCATGAGAAGACTTTCAAGGAGATGCAGCCCTGACAGTGGGGAGGTTTGTCAGGCTCGTGGGGTCCAAGGAAGGACACGCTCCTTGCTTCCCTGTGTGCTCGTCCAACCTCTTGCAGGACCTGCTGCCTGGACACTGAGTTGCTGGTTCTAGATGGAGCGTGGTCTTCTCATCACCTCCATGTGTGGACCACCCTCGTCGTGCTCCTGCATCACCTCAGCCTGCCCGAGCCCCTCTGCTCCTTGCTCCCCATCTCCTGTCCTCCTCCTGAGCCCCTGGTGAGCCTGTTCCTTCAGGAAAAGGGATCTTACCATGCACTTGGAGAAGCTCAGGAGCCTCTGAAGGGTCTCTGTGGGAGGTGGAGTGGGTGAGAGCAGAGGTAGCTCAGGGTTTTGGGTTCCTCAGCAGCCTTCCAGGGGAGTTCCTTTGCAGCAGGGTGGGGAATATCCAGCCAAAATCCCCTGGGTTTGTCCTTGCCTTCCTCTCCTTCCTCAGGATGTGGCTTTGCTGGAGCACTGAGAAGGGAAGGCAGGAGGAGATGCAGGGACTGCCTCTGCCTCTCCACTCCTATGCCCTCCAAACCATTCTCCTGCAGACCAGCACAACCATTTTGTTCCATTCTCTTTCATTTCTATTTTTTAACCTAAGATATGAATTCATTTTTTTTTTCCCCCCACCGAGGGGCAAATTCTCTCAGGATTCCTCAGGGAAAACCCCCCCAGATAAAGCAGTGACAGGGTGGGGGGGACAGAGTTTGGTTCAAGACCACCTTGGTCAGAGAGATCATTGTGGCTGGTGACCTCCACACCCATCCCCCTGAGCAGGATGGACCCAAAAAAAACCCCAGCAGGATGGTCCTGGCCCCTCCAACCTCTTTCTACGTTGTGCCCGTGCACACAACGTCTGTTTTCGTGGCAGTGTCTCGTTTTATGCTTGGTGATTTCTTTGTATTGCTGTTGGCAGAGGCTGAGGAGAAGAAAAAAAGCTGCCCTGAAACTCACCCCCCTGTATTTGGTGATGTATTAAAAGGCAATTTGCTTTGTATGGTGGCGATGGTTTGTTTTGACCTGGAACAGTGTCTCTCCATTTCCCTCTTGACTGAGCAAGGGTTTGAAAAAACAAGTGTGGGGAGGAGCAGCTGAGGGAGTTGGGGGTGCTGAGGCTCAGGGGAGACCTTCTGGCTCTGACAATTCCCTGACAGGAGGTTGGATTGAAGTGGGTCGGGCTCTTCTCCCAAGGAACAAGGCACAGGACAAGAAGAAACAGCCTCAAGTTGCCCCAGGGGAGGTTGAGGTTGGAGCTGAGGAACAATTCTTCCCCTGGAGGGTTTTCCAGGGCTGTGCCAGGGCAGTGGTGGAGTCCTCACTCCTGGGAGGGGTTTCCAAGCTGTGGAGATGTGGTGTGAGGGACACAGGGCAGTGGGGACCTGGCAGTGCTGGGGGAACAGACTGGATTTTACCCCAGCTCTGATTCTAGTACCCACACCCCTGCCCATGGTGGAGCTCAGTGCCTCATTTCCTCCCCTCCTCACCCACACAATCCCCCTCATCCTCAGTGTCCCCCTCACCTCCCCATCTCCCCTTTTGTCCCTAAATCCCTCCTC